GATTTAGGCCATATAAACTTCACCTTATTTTTGATGAACCAGAATTATTTTTATTGAACTGCAATTACGTAGTATTGACCTTATCTTCACTGAAATAAATTTTTTTTTATAGAATGTAATTTTTTAAGTTAAATTGAATAAGGCTTTATTGATTAAGTTTGTATTCATAATTATGAGGTTGTGGGATCAAACCCAATTAAATAATATCGTGCATGTTCACTATTAATATAGTTATCAACTAATAATCAATAATTGGTCTAATAATAAAAATTGTATCTCACGAGTTTTTGGAGGTAGTGGTGATTCTATTTTCTTTCCCCCGACTCTCAAGGGGCCTTGTCTGCTAACTCAAACTAGGACTTCCTCTCCAATCCTCACCTACAAAAAATTATTAATAATGGAATAAACTAACATTTGAATAGTGAACAACTACAATAAAAAGGAAAAAAAAAATACAAATAGAGATGACATTCATGTTATTTGGATTGGTTTCAGTTCAATTAAGAGTTATTCAAGTTGTTTTCGTGATCGAATCAAATCGTGTCGGATTATTTTTAATTATGTGGTCGTTATACTTATTTTAAATACAATAATCATCATTAGAATACATCAATTTTCAGGTTAGTTCAGATCATGTCAAATAGTGTCAAGTATGAGTGTAGAGTTGGTTCAAGTCAAGTAATCACGTACATGAGTCAATTTTGTATTGTCCATATATTTCATACGTTAATTGCAATATTGGGGTTGTTATGTTTTCCAATGATATTATATATCACTTATATCTTTAATTATACTTAAGTAAAAGTTATAAAAAGTTAATATTGTGATGTACATATAGAGAAGAGTCTTATAAAACATTATCATCTATAATTTTTCTAGCACATAAATCACAAAAGATAGACGATAGTTAGATAAGTGTTTATATAGTTTAAAATTTCCAATTTTGCAATTTCAAAAACGGATAAAATACAGAATATAAAAAGACCACGATATTTCATACAAAGTACACAGGTGACATATCCTTCTATCCATCGTGGTATGTATCTTTCATTATAATAATTATATATTGTAACTTCCAAATTTCTTAAATAGTCTCCAAATTCAATTATTGTTTTTTGGATTTTAGCACCAAATAATATATACTCCCTCCGTCCCCTAAAGACCCTTTTGATGTAATTTTAGTCCCAAAATAATCCACCTAAATGCATTAAAATACCCACCAATTTACAAGAATATTTGCGCAAAATTTGCTTCTCCATATAATTTTTTTTTCATGTATTTTAATACTTTCTCTTTCTACTTTTTTACAAACCCCATATGTAAATCCTTCAAAAAAAAAAAAAAAAAAACATATGTAAATTTATCTTTCCAATATACTTTTACTTCTTTTTATTTAACTTTCTTAATACTAGCGAAATCAACCCAAAAGAGTTGTTCTTTTAGGAATGGAGGGAGTATCATAGTATCAACTCCTAATTGTTTTTTTAGGTCATTTAAGATACATTGTCGCCAATAGGGGTGCTAATCGGGCGAGCTGAGCCCGAACTATGGTCAACTCGGCTCGTGATCGTTTAAATTTGTTCGAACCGAATTCGAACCTTTATGAGTTGAGCTTCGACCGAGCCGAGCTTTGACTAATCGTTGATCGAGCCGAGCTCGAACGTCTCACGAACAACCTTGATTTATTCTTAGCCCTATAATTTACTTCTTTATTGTTCATTATTAAATTTTTTACTTTATAACGAGTTTATTGTTTTAATAATGAAAATACTAACTTATTGTTGTGTAATATCTATTGTTAAAAAAAAGTTATATTTATATACATGATTTTTTTATACGGAAAAAATAAACGAGCTTGTTCACGAACTTTTCGAGCCGAGCTTGGCATAACTCAGCTTGGCTCGTTAAGGTCTCGAGCCGAACTCAAACCCGAGCCGAGCCACTACGAATCGAGCTTTGACCAAATCGAGCTCGAATAGTTCACGAATAGCTCAGTCTCATTATCACCCCTAGTTGCCAACGAACATTAGCTAAATTGACATGATGAGCTTAACTGCTTAAGTACGTTTTGGTTCCAAATTTAGCTCAAGTACCGTACCCTCCGACGACCCGGAGAATTAATATTATTCAGCATTTTTCTCAGTTCGCTCTAGCAAAAAGGAGACTAACATTTGAAAAAAAAAAAAACCGAGTAATTCTAGAACATTTTGCAAAGTAAAACTAAGAAATAAAGACAGTAACAGACACAATAAAATGACATATTGTAGAAACAGAGAAACTTCACTTAATTTCATTAGCTTTCATGAGCTCAATATTTATAATACAAACAATTAGTTTCCTAAGCCACATAAAACGTGTGTTGCCAGCTTAGGAGAACCAAGATAAGATATGGAAATATTCACTAGATCAAAAATATTTCCTAAATATATCTATTTCCTAAAATATATCTTAATACCCCCCTTCAAGTTGGAGCACGAGGTTCGAAGACGCCCAACTTGGAAAGAAGATAGTCAAATTGTGCCTTCCAGAGAGGTTTTGTAAAAATATCCGCCAATTGATCTTTAGTAGACACATGTGACGGGGAAATCAAACCTTCAATGATCGCATCACGAACAAAATGACAATCAACCTCTATGTGTTTCGTACGCTCATGAAACACTGGATTTTTCGCAATATGCAATGCAGACTGACTATCACAAAACAATTTAATTGATTGAGGATGTTGAACACCCAAACTCAACAATAAACCTTTGAGCCACTTTAATTCACAAGTAGCTCCATTCATGCACCTGTATTCCGCCTCTGCAGAAGATGTAGATACTGTAGGTTGCTTTTTAGTTTTCCAAGAAATCGGAGATTTGCCTAAAAACACTAGCCATCCAGTCAACGAACGTCTAGTGAGAGGACATGCCGCCCAATCTGAGTCACACCATCCCTCTAATGTGAGCTCACTATCTGAACGCAACAATATGCCTTGTCCGGGTGTACCTTTTAGATAGCGTACTACCCTCAAAGCGGCTTCCCAATGCTCTATGCGAGGCTCTTGCATGAACTGTGATAGGATGTGAACTGAGTGAGCAAGATCAGGGCGAGTAATTGCAAGGTATATAAGTCGCCCCACAAGGCGACGATATGCTGCGGGATTATGCATCAACTCTCCACTGGCATGTGCAAGCCTATGATTTTGCTCCATGGGAAACCCACTAGGCTTTGCTCCCAATAAACCTATTTCAGAGATAATATCCAGAGTATACTTTCGTTGACACAAAAATAATCTGGACGAACTACGAGCCACCTCAATGCCCAAAAAATATTTTAGAGGACCAAGGTCTTTCATTTTGAAGCAATCACTAAGATATGCTTTGAACACATTAAGTGCAGCGGAATCATTCCAAGAAATAATAAGATCATCCACATAAACTAAGACATTAATTTGAGTTTTGCCATGAGTATATGTGAATAAAGAATAATCTAAATAACATTGAATAAATCCATACCGTTTCAAGGCAGCTGTCAACTTTGCAAACCAACACCGGGGTGCTTGTTTCAGGCCATACAATGACTTGCGCAACTGACACACCAAAGTAGGATCCGAGCTTTCAAACCCGGGGGGCAATTTCATGTAGACCTCCTCAGCTAGGTCACCATGCAAAAAAGCATTATGCACATCCATTTGATGTATTTCCCAATTTTTGCAAGCTGCTATTGCAAGAAAGGCACGAACAGTAGTCATCTTGGCAACCTGAGCAAAAGTCTCATCATAGTCAATTCCAGCTTGTTGGTGATTACCAAACACCACTAATCTTGATTTAAGACTCTCAATATCACCATTAGATAAATATTTGGTCTTATAGACCCATTGACTGCCAAGAGCACGTTTCCCGGGAGGAAGGTGTTCTAGAGTCCATGTACCATTGTCCTCTAAAGCACGGATTTCTTCCTTTATAGATTTGTGCCACTCATCATAATTCATTTCCTCCTTAAACGATTTTGGGTCATTACCCTTAATAATAGCTGCAAGAAATTTTTGATAATGGATAGAAAAATTGTCACAATTAATGTAATGTGCTATAGGATAAGGAGTACCTGATGAGGAGTTATTGGAGGGAGGAGTTAAGGACGGACTATTAGCAAAAACCGTATGTGTCACATAATCTCGATATAAAGCATTTGCAAATTTCTCACGAAACCCACGACCCATCTCTTGAGCATTTGAGCTTTCTGTTGCATGCTTCTGATCTGAAGGAGAGGCCCCATTGGGTGTTGGCCCACTAGCGATTTCAATCATTTGATTGGTGGGCTGAGAATCCAACCCAGTGTGCTCTGGGCTCTCAACAGAAGGTGACATGGGCTGGTCATCTAATGGACCATTATTATTTGAAATGGGCTGATGTGTAGTTGGGCCAGAGGATGGAGTGGTGGGTTGGGCTTGTAGTGCTTCCAGATTGTCGCCATCTTCAACCATATTTCCTAAATAATTTTCAGCAAAGTCCTCATGAATTTCATGATTATCATAGTCATGATTTGTGATGTTTACATCCTCGAGACACCCAAACGGGAAAAATTTCTTCAACAAACTTCACATCTCGGGAATCAAAAAATACTTTTGTTTCTAAATCAAACAATCTCCACCCCTTTTTCCCGAATAGATATCCAACAAATATACACTTTCGACTTCGACTTGCAAACTTATCACCTTTGGTATTTTGATTGTGTGCAAAACATAAACATCCAAATGTATGAATAGCATCGAATGAGGGGGGTCTACCAAAAAGTATCTCAAAAGGGGTTTTATTTTGTAAGAGAGGAGTAGGAGTACGATTGATCAAGTGAGCGGCCGTGAGAACACACTCCCCCCAAAAGTAAATTGGCAATTTTGCTTGGAAACGCAATGCCCTTCCAACATTCAAAATATGTTTGTGTTTTCTCTCAACTTTCCCGTTTTGTTGCGGAGTCCCGACACAAGAGGTTTGAAACAAAACTCCAGTTGCATTAAAATATTCACGCAAGCAATTAAACTCAGTGCCATTATCACTTTGAACCACTTTTATAGTTTGAGAAAATTGTCGATCAACCATAGCAACAAAGGACATAAACATCTGAAATACTTCTAATTTATCGACCAACAAATAAATCCAAATTGCTCTTGAAAAATCATCAACTATTGTTAAAAAATAACGAGCCCCACACGACGAAACATGTCTATATGGACCCCACAAATCACAGTGTATTTTCTCAAAAATTCTTGAGGTTTTATTATCACTTAAAGGAAATTTGTCTCTTGGATGTTTGGCATGCATACATACTTCACAACCTTTATTTAAATGACCATTACTAATACTGACATGAGGAATTAACTTAACTACTTTCACTGAAGGATGTCCGAGCCGTCGATGCCACAATTCCAAATTCGATGAAGCGTTAACAGTTGACACAAATTTCGGTTTGCTAAAATAGTATAGTCCGTCTCTCCTAATTCCCGTTCCAATCAGCTCCTTCGCTTGGTCCTGTATAGCACAAACATGAGAATCAAATTGGACAATAGTACTTAAATCATCATTAAGTTGAGAGACAGAAAGTAAATTGCAACTCAAATTTGAAACATAAAGTACTCCGGTGAGAGTGATTTTGTCCGATAAATTAATGGATCCCACCAAATTAGCCATCACTTTTGTACCATTAGGCAAACCAACATGACAATCAATATTTTGAGAGTCAAATAACCAAGAGGAATTTCCTGTCACATGATGTGTGGCACCGGTATCGATTATCCAAGAGGAAACATCAAACTCACCGGTTAATCTATTATCGGGAATTTTAGCATTACCAACAACTCCCGCTATGGCTTTCCACTGTTCTGGCGTGAATAGTTGTCCCAAGGCTGAAACAGAGGAATTTGGACTGCCGCCCGTCGCTGCATTGGCTCGGACCTGCCCACGTCCTTGCCCTGTTGAAGAAGGTTTCTTGGAATCGGGTCGACCCACAAGCTCATAGCAATGAGTCTCTGGGTGACCTTGTTTCTTGCAATAACCACATATTATATCTGCCCAACAAGAAGAGGTTGCATGGCCTGTTCGTCGACACTTAGAACAGACCGGTTTTTCACGACCTCGGCCTCGATCGGTCCCTGCCCGAACAGAAAATCCCACCGTCTCAGACGGCGTGGACTCAACCTTGAGTTCGGCCTCTTTCCTCGATGTGCGAACTCGTTCGTCTTGTGATACCAATTGATATGCACGGTCAAGACTCGGAAGAGGATCTTGAGAAAGAATTTGTGAACTGAGAGGAGCATAATAATCAGAATAGAGACCCATAAGAAAGTCATGTAATCTGGCCTGAGCCCTCCTTTCTTCATGTAAACGGCCAGCCGAACACGAGTTACAGCATGAGCATGAAATCAGAGGCTCGTGATGGTCTAATTCTTGCCACAAAGAATGTAATTTACCGTAATAAATTGAGACGGGCATCATCTTAGTCTGTTCGCACTTAGCAATTGAAGAGCGTAATTGTTGAATTCTAGGTCCGTTTGTTTGAGCAAAGCGCTGCTTTAGATGGTCCCAAAACGGCTTAGCCTCTCTGAATTTTGACAGAGAAGATTTTAAATCAGAGTCGATAGTGTTTGATATCCAAGATATGAGCATCGCGTTTATGGCCGTCCAATCGGACTTTGTACAAGGCGGGGATGGTTCATTAATGGTGCCATCCAAAAACTCGAACTTTCGGCGGGCTTCTAACGCCGTTTGAATATCGGCTGCCCATTCCTCATAATTATCAGCCTTTAGACGGGTAGGAGTGATGAAATCTCCCGGTCGATCTTGCGAGCCAAGGTAATAAGGGGAATTAGGTTCAATTTTGTTTGGTGGTGGTGGTGGTTCGGCACCGCCAGCCATGGCTACTTAATATGAAGAAAAGAAGAAAAAAAATCGATTGGCTTGATACCATGTAGAAACAGAGAAACTTCACTTAATTTCATTAGCTTTCATGAGCTCAATATTTATAATACAAACAATTAGTTTCCTAAGCCACATAAAACGTGTGTTGCCAGCTTAGGAGAACCAAGATAAGATATGGAAATATTCACTAGATCAAAAATATTTCCTAAATATATCTATTTCCTAAAATATATCTTAATACATATCTTCACTCAAAATTAAAATATGACATAAAAGGGGGAATATTCTCCTTTAGCCTATACATACATAAACTATAGGAGAAATTATTTGAAGCATAGATTACAACCACATAATATAATACCACGTACATTGACACATGCAAGTGTGAAATCTACATCTTTGCGGCTAAAAATGGGAAATTTGACTTCTTCTTGAAAGTAACCGGGAATGGAGAATCTTTGGCGACTCCCAAATGTCCGTCGTCAAGAATGGTAACATCTCTACACTGCTTATAATCATCGTCATCGTCGTCGTTGTAATCATCATCGTCATCATCATCATCAGAAGTTTTGATTCTTCTGGACTTGGACTTGGACTTGGCCTTGGACTCGAACTTGAACTCGTGGTAGTGACAAAATTTAATGTTGTACACATCTGTAGCAACATTAGATCTTTCAATCAAGAAAGCGTAATTAGACTTGAACGGCCCATCAGTACCGACAATTATCGGCGCTTTGTCGTTGGCATCACTCGGACCCACCCACCACCGCAATGGGGTCGTCAAGCCGCAGATGGGGATATAAGTGTTGAAGGTTAACTCGACGGGAATAGAGGTCAAGAGATCGTATACTCTTACCGGTGACGAGATCTTCAAGTCCAAGCCATCTTCTCCGGAATCTGCGGTGCCAACGTATCGAGGGCAGATATGGAAGCGTCTAGTTGAGTCTGATGCAATAAGGCCACCAGTGTTTTTTGAGTGTGGAAGGATGTAATAGTCTCCGTCATTTCTTACTGGGTCGCCCTCCGTGTCTACGACACGATCGGCGGCACTAGGAGAAGGAGAGAGAACGAAGAGAAGAAGAGTATTGCGGTCACTTTGAGGAGAAAGGAAGCCATTTTTTGTTTTAGTTTAGGGTGTGATGCATGAGAAATGAATATGGAAGGGTGCTATTTATAGAACTAAAACTATAATGTTAAAAGAGGCAATTTGTGAACAGTTTTGGTAATGAAAAAGAAAGTTACACATATACCTGTGGTAAAGTTCATGCACTATAGACTTCTGAACAACCGCGCATTTAATTTAGTGTCCCACTGTAAATAAAACAAATAATCAAACACTTTATAAGGATAAAAGACGCAATTAATGCCATATATGGTATTACAAATGTGAGTGCATTTCAATTGATTTTGGGGCCAACATTATTGTCCTATCACCTTTCCATGACCATACATATTTAATCTAGAATAGAAGTTATACAATGATTAGGGTCATTATGTTCAACATATATAATGCCTACACGTATGCACTACTAGTTCTGTATATCAAAGGTCGCACAAGTATTGATAAAGATCACTATGTTAAATTAAGGTCACTATATTCAATATAACGTCAATTGCACGCAATAGATCTCAAATCTACAATAATAATTGTAAACCAAGTCCACACAAGTTTTTTTCCAAACATGTACCAATTTTCAGATTTTGGATAATTTCCACTACGAGTCCACTGCCAAGCTAGAATTATTCTAAAAACAATAAACTCCATAATTTCATATCTATGAAGTTTACTTTATCTCCCACTCTTTAGGGACTTGTTTAATTTGGTAAGAATAAAGTAGTACAAATAAATGACCATGGCTCGAGTCCGGCTAAGCTTTTAGGGTGTAGAAATGATGATCAATGCTTGAAATGTTTTTATTTATTATTTTAAATTAATCTGATTAGAATGGATTTGGTCGTGTTGGGCTTTAATATATGTTGGAGATCATTGTTATTAATTAAACTCACTATCACACACTATGAATTAGCTAGAGCCAGTTGATCTTTAATTTCAGAATGATTGGTTAACCCTTTGACTTTTAGGCTTATGATTAATTAGATGAATCTCACAAATCATATTAAATATAATAGAAAAAATAATCAAAATTAATACAACATCTAGTCAATTCTTTTTTAATAATACAAAATTTGAATTATTTTGTAATAATACAACCTTTCGGGGTGCTCATTTTAAATATGATAAAATCAAATTTTCTATGAATTTTGAGGTTAGAAAAGGTTGTATTTTTAAAAAAGAATGAGTCAAATATTGTATTATTTTTGACAATTTTTTCAAGATATTATTATTCTTCGTACCCTAAAATAAATCAATAAATTAAAAAAAAATGATTTTTAATATGTATTCGGACACTCGGTACTCCGTAACATGACCACTAAGTAAATATAATCTTGTTCTACATCTGCCACACTTGTGGTCGACAGAATTTTCTGAGTGTAATTGTCCACGTTTTTTTAAGGCCAGCTCATTACAATGAAAGCTAAGTCTTGGCCACCCTAGCACATGTCGTCAGTCCACTCTAGAAACAGCCTTCCTACCTACTTCATAGACTAAATTAATTTCAGGATGTTATATCTTTGATGTCTCTGAAAATCAATTTATTTAGTTAAATAATAATAATAATAATAATAATAATAATAATAGTAGTAGAAGTAGTATCCGCATTTGTTTTTTTTTTTTTTTTTTTTTTTTTTTTTTTAAATACGGAGTATTTTGTATCCACTTTAATAACTATGGATCGGAGTAAAATTTACTTATTTTTATGGAGTATTAACTTTCTTCAAAATTTTATTGTTTTCAATGTTAATGAATCACTTCCTTCGCTTTTTAAATTATTCATAATTGATCCAACCAGCAGTAAAATTTATGAGGGTATTAATAATGATAATCTAGCTAGTAACCAATGCTAAGTTTTGCATAAAATTACTCCATTGTCCACTCCCAAATTGAGATTTTCTTGTATTCCTCGACATGTATGAGGAAAGGAAAAGGAAAGGGGCAAAGGGCTAGGGAAGGGATAATCCGGCTAAGGCTAATGGAGTATGTAGGGCATGTTTCGATTTACTAAAAATAACTTAACTGAAGTGAACTGAGCTGAAATGAATTGTTTATAAGAAAAGGAAATTAGAAATTGAATTGAACTGATCTGATTGGAGATGAGAACTGAACTGAATTAAGCCGAAGAGAACAGACCCTTAGTACCAAAAAAAAAATCTTATACTTCCTAGTAGCTTGCTTAGCTTTGCTAAGCCTCGACATGTGATATTGTTTACTTTCTTTGACTCTATTTTTTTTTTCCTATTTGATTTTTCACAATCTGCAAAACATGTTGAATTAATAAGCGTAATAAAATAGAGAAAAACAAACAATAATAATACTCGTAATAATCTCTCCCTCCCTTGCTCCAAAAACTTAAACACATAATTGCTAAACTTAATTTACTGCTAACTTCAACAATCATATTGCGATGGACTTTGAATTTGGGATACTTGAACTCAACACACCTTTTTAATTAATCTATTTGCCTTTTCACTTTACAAATGGAGATACTATGCCCATAGAAATAGGCTTCCAACTCTAAAAACTACTCCCTCTATTCCATTATTTCGTGCCTGTATTCCTTTTTAGTTGTCTTAAAATGTCGTGCTTGTTTCTAAAAATAGCACATAATTATTTCTTGTTTTTATCTTTCCTATACAAAATAAAATATATATATATAATACTCTCCTACTTCCACCATTTTTCTTAATTACCGTATTTTTTGAGAAATAAGCATGAAATTATAGAACGAAGGGAGTAACAAGCTATAAAGTAGGAACTAATAAACAAGTGGGGACCTAATAAACACTGTACTCCACACTAACTCAAGCTAAGTACTTCGAATTACGTTCTAATAATAAAATTGATACTTAGGAAAATAGTATGCCACTAAAGTTCCATTAGTTTTGGAGCATTAACTAAAAAACGTATATATCTCCGTTTCATGTTCCTTTAACCTCTCTTGTTTCGATCCTCTTAAAGCATTTTATAACCCAAAGCTTCCCTTACTCATTTTCAAGCCTCTGCCTGACTTCACATAAGCATCTGAGAGAACGTTGTATTGAAATTTTATTAGAATCGTGTAATGGTACGTAAATTTTTATAATAGTATCATTCTATAATAATATTTACTTTTTTATAGCGACAACTTAATTGTTGAATGGTAAACATGATAAAAGAAGTGTGTTAAATATAGAAGAACAGATAAGTATATTATTACTTAGATATAAATTAATACATTATCATAAGATAAAGCGGAACAATATTTGTTGTAATTAAAATTGGAATATATATGCATCACACATGCAAGTTGCATGAGAAATATAATACTTGATTAGAAAAGTTGAAATAATATACAACTTCAATGGTTGATGATACCATTATTTGGCTTGTATACACCTTCATAAAAAGAGGGGTTTGATTCAATGAAAGACTACTCACTGGCAAATATCCTTTGTATCGAGTGTATAGATAATCTTCATAAACACTCGGTAGAAACGTAAGAGATTATATTCTTCTATTACAAGTTCATTATAATACTCCCTCACTTTTTTATTTAGTGTAACATTTATATTTTCGGGTAAACTATTCCTTCTGTCACTATTTATTTGTACCGTTGCAAATATTTGAGTCTATTTTTATAAACTTTTGACCACTAAATCCATTAATTAATCAAAGATAACGTTTTCACGTGGGACTTTATTGGATTCTTCTCATTGTTCGGCCATAACATAATCGAAAGATTCAACATAGGCTAGTTAGGAGGTGGAATTAGCTACAATATCTAAACTAAACAACAGAAGAATAAATAAGAGCAAAAAATGAAACAGCTTAATTTGTATATTACAAATTGGAGAAAGTACGTAACAAAAAACTTTTCTCTTTATTATAAAACCACTCGACATATCCATACGCAAAGTATATTACAAGATTCTACATTATTCATATTATTAATATTACAATATCATATAATAAACATTAAACAAAAAATCACTCATCAAGTCATCATGCATTATACTCCAACCCAAAGATTCAGTAACTTTACAAGATTGATCATGTTGTTAATTAACAGGGTAGTCTTAGGTACAATAGCTACAATATATAATTTTGTAACTACTATATGTAATCTTTTAATTTGATCCATAAATTTTTTTTAAGCTTTCTTGAAATTGACCAATAGTGGTTGATCATTAAGATCCAATAACCTTCTCCCATCTTTGTCAACAAAAACACCAATATCTCCACACATCACCTTACAAAAGTTACAAACACTAGGGCAAAACACTATCTTATAATCATACGTACCACTTCCCGCCTTCTCTATCTTAAACCAATTACTAAACGTTTTAACACCCGGGTTCCCGATCTGTCCTCCGAATCCTACGTACCGCCTTCCGGTCTCCTCATCGATGGCTAACTGCCATATAAAGGACGGGCCGGAGGGCACGCAAAGGGGGACGGCATCGAAGACGATGTTAAGGTCAGTCGAGATAAAAATTCTTTTGTCTTTAGGGTTGATCGAGTGTAGCTTTAGAGGTATTCCATTGTTGAGTACCCGGGTTTCTTGAGCTGCGGCGAGAGGACACAGCTCAGTGATGTTCTTTGGTTCAACTGTCAAGCCCCCGCCTCGGCCTCGGACTACCGGGAGGATATAGTAGGGGAGTTGGGACGAACCGGGTGGCCATCGATGTCGATGACGGCCGGGTTAGCCGCGGTGGTGGTGTGAGAGGAGAGAAAGAAGAGGAGGAGGATGGTGGCTGATGAGAAGATAAAATTGTTCATTTTGTTGACTTTGGGTTTGGGTTGACTTTTAGTGATATTAATAGATGTGTGAGATGAAGGGAAGATGTAGAGTGGTACGGTATTTATAGAAAGTGTCAAAGACAATATGTGCTGTCAAGGATGATTAACTAATTATATATAATAATTTATTATATTTTAATTTATTTTTTTAGTTAGCAACTTTGACTAGATCTAGTAATTATTGAATATATAAACTTTTTTATAAAAAAAATTGTATTTTTATAGAGGGGATAAGCATAAGGTATTCGTGCTCGTCACAAAAAAAAAAAAAAAAAAACACATAACGTATTCGTGTAGCAAAGTCCATCCTAACTCAATCTTCAATTCCGTTTCACTTTGGTATTCCCATTTTAAATATAGGAAAATATAAATTGATAAGATATGATTTTACTTTTTTTTCGGCTTCATAATTATATTCTCATTTACAATATTCCTTTTTTTTAATTATTCCTTTTTTTTTCGGCTTCAATATAATATTCTCATTTAGCAAATACGATAACATAAGAAATAAAAATGCACAACTAGTACTACTCAGTAATATCTTAGGATAAGTAAGCACCGACCCTTCAATAAGGAATAAAAAGATAGTAATTTGATCATTTGAGAAAGTTGTTCCTTCTACATTTTTAAAATTTATGCTAAGATATACAAGAATTCAACTTATTAAAGATAGTAAAATTGGTTTTGATTAAACTTCATTCACAAGCTACGCTTTTTGCACTAAGTAGGTATTTGATCATTTACTTTCAGCAGTCAGCAATGAGTAGACCTGTCAAATGGGTCATTTTGGTTGAGTCTGGGTCAGATCACTTTTGGATCGGGTCATTTCAGGTCAGCTAACATTTGGGTCGGGTTGATTCGGGTTTCGTGTCGACTTCGGGCTAGGAATCGGGACTAGCTCAGGTCGGGTCAATTTCGGGTAGGGTATATTCGGGTCGGGTCAATTTCGTGTCAAGTATGTTCGGGTCATATTTGGGTCAAGTCAAAATTTGGTCGGGTCATGTTCAGGTTGTTTTATCTGTGAATCAAGCTCAAATTAATAATTTTATACGCAGTATATATTTTGTTATTGTTATAACAAACACTACCAATTTAGTTTATGAGCTTATCTACGATTAAAAATGAACAATTTGAGTTATTTTTGGTACAAGAAATTTTAAGTTCAATTATAAAATAATTTTAGTTCTGAACACTTTGGGTATCAGGTTTGTTCGGGTAAATTTTGGGTATCGGGTCTGTCAGCTCAAACAATTCGGGTCAATTTCGGTTCGGGTTAACTTCGGGTCGGGTCAGGTCAGTTCAGGTGTCGGGTCAGGATCGGGTCAACTCCATTTTCAAGTCGGGTATGGGTCGTGTCAATTTCAGGTTTCGGGTTAATATTTTTGGGTCAATTTCAGGTCATCAAGTCTGGGTCAGGATTGCCAGGTCTAGCAATGAGACGATGCTTACGCCTCATTATACCTAAAGTATCCCAATGGATTAGAGGATTAGAATATCTTCGTATTTGTTTTTTTCGTACAATCTAACTAGACCAATATAATATAAAGGTTGAGAGTCAGAGGCCAACTTGAACTGCAACCGATGATTTGCGCATAAGATATGTACATGGATAGTGAGCAACATTCAAAAACTTTATTTAGGGCCTGTTCTGATACGATCGATTATTTTCAGTTCAGCTCAGCTTTAATAAGTTTAGTTTAACTCTAATAAATTCAATTCAGTTCAAGTCAACTCCTAAAACCCTTCTCTTATAAAATATTCATTTCAGTTTAGTTCTAATAAGTACAGTTCAATTCAGGTCAGTTCTAATAAATTCAATTCAGCTCAATTTAATTTTTCAGTTTTATATGTTAATGGCCCAAAATTAGTGGACTTAGTTGTTAGTCGTTATTATTTAGTGCCTTAGTGGAAGATTATTTTCCTAATAAAAGTAGTATCCTAGGACTAATTTAAGAAGTTAAAAGTAGTATTAGTTGGTCAATTTTAGTGGAGTAAATTGTGGGCCATGTTTACCCATTTAGCATTATCTTTTCCTATTTTGTTGTTAGAGTTTGTTATTGTAAAGCCTATTTAATAGCTTGTTTTTTTAATTCAAAATTATTAAGAATTGCAATACATTTTGTCTGTTCAGTTAGTGAAAATAGACCCTTAATCAAAGCTTCATTTATTCGAAAAAAGCTTGTAATTTAAGAACATATAAAAGGAGTACGAAATAAAGTAGCTAAGTACAAAAAATAAGGTCAAGACCATCAACTTTGACCAAACGAATAGAGCAGTTAACTTTAGACGGCAGAATTATAAGTCATTTTATAAGGAACTTTATAATTCAAAGAAGACAGAACATTATTATTCAAGAGTAATTTGATCATATGTATATATTTATTTTTACACACATCCAATTTAAAGATCTATTGATCTGTAAACAATATAGCCTTGTACAAGATAATCTTGTAACATAATTTTCAAGCTTCTTTCTTGAACTTAACCAAAAGAGGTTGATCACTTAACAAACCCAAAAATCTTGTTCCATCTTTTTTAATAAAAACACCTACATCCCCACAAATTGGCCTACAAAACTCACAAACACCAGGACAAAACACAATCTTATAATCATACTTTCCACTTCCTGCCTTTTCTATCTTAAACCAATTACTAATCGTCTCAATCCCGGGATTTCCGATTGTTCCGCTTATTCCAATATATAACCTTTGAGTCTCATCATCATCAAAACTTGTCAAGCTCCATCCAGTAGATTGAACGCAAATGGTGGACACATCGAACACGATGTTAAGGTCAGTAGAGAGAGGGATTCGACGATCTTTAGGGTTTACGGGGTAGAACTTAAGAGGTAGGCCTTTCGAGAGTTCGAGATTATCTTGAGCTACGTAGAGGGGGCATGGTTGAGTAGAGTTTTTAGGTGCCAGTGTTACGCCACCGCCTCGGCCTCGGAACACTGGGAGGATGTAGTAGTTTGTGTCGGCTTGGAGAGGCTGACCATCGATGTCGAGGACGGCTGTGTTGGCTGCGGTGGTGGTGAGAGGAGAGGTATAAAGGATGATGAAGATGGTGGCTGCCGAGAGGATTAAGTTGGTCATATTTTTGGAAGTTGTACTTAATGAGATTTGAATTGTTGTGAGTTGAAAATGAAGATGAGTGACAATTTATAATGTATAGATCGATTGTACTGCATGAATAAACACGTACTTCATTACGTGTTACGGTGTTAGGTGTATTTTTCTTAGAGCTAAGAAAAATGTATCCTACTAGATAGAAATCTCATGTGAATTAGCTTGGTGCATGTTAGGTGTATTTTTATTTAAGTATATCATTTTTTTTTTTAATGTATTTTTCTTATCACAAAATCTTTAAACCCTCACAATATAACTAGCTTACGTGCATGTACTTCCAAAATCTTCTCTTGTCAATGCATGTGCCTAGAAAGTCATCAAATTAGTTCCTTATACGTTAGCTTCCTCCAACTGGTACTGTACGCTTTGCTCTTTCTTTGTAAAGTTTTTATGTAGGTTGGGTTTGTTGAAAGAGATAATACTAGTAGGTTAATTAATTGATTAATTATGTTCATATATAAGAGGCCGATGTAATTAAAAAAAAAAAAACGCAAACAAAAGAGAGAAATAATAACAAAAAATTATGAATAGGTAGGATCATGAGAGAAGAGAGATAATATTTCATAGCATTTTCCCATCAAGAAAGTATTGCATTGAAAGAGATAGTAGATTTAGAGTAGTGTTGCATAAAAATAAAAATAAAAACAGAAGAAACATAGACTTATTTTATTTTAGTTATTACTATTTTTTAAAATGTATTAGAAAACACTTATAAATAGTGCAAAACAATCTGATAAAGTATAAAACATATTCCTGGACAATACCCTCTAAAATGTTTGGAAAATATCCTCTAAAATGTTTATTACTCATATGTCCACATTAATGTTACTTGTTTTTTCAACTCTTAAAAATAGTACGCGGACTTTTATACCCATAAAAATATTTATTTACATATTTTCTCTCATTAATTTTACCAACTATATATTGAAAGGCTCTTAAAAAATAGCTAGCTGTGGCACACGCATTATTAGCCACCCTATAAATATAGTTTTTTTGTATGCGGCTTGCTATACCGTGCGGCAGGAGTTAGTCCGGTTACTCGGTCAGGGATTATTTGAGTTGCCGGAGTTTGTCAAGTTTCTCGGTCAGGGGTTACTTGAGTTGCCGAGGTTATTCTACTTAATCAATGAGGGGTTACTCGAGTTGTCGGGGTTACTCAAGTTACTCGATCAGGGGTAACTTGAGTTAATCCTGATCGAGTAAACTGAGTAACCCTTCGAGTATACCCCGACCAAGTAACCTCTCAAGTAACCCCTTACTGAGTAACCCCTCAAGTAACCCCAGACCGACCCTCAAATAACCCCTGACCGAGTAACTAACCCCTAATCGAGTAATGCTTGGCCAATTAACTCAAGTAACCCCTGACCGAGTAACCGAGTGTTGAAGCATAAAGGTTTTTATGATGAGGAACTTGAACTAACAGCAAACTCAACTAATAAAGATTCTCTAGTGTGTGATTAGTCAAGGTGCAGAATAATCTTGGAGATTGAAGAACCATCTGAATCTAAGAAGACATGAAGAAGATCTTTATTGAAGAAGTTAAACAAACCAGAGGAAAAGTTCTCTAACAAGAACTAAGTTCCCTAACAGGAACTTAAAGACTAGCAGTTAAGTTCTTTGGTGGAACTTGATATGCTTGGAGCCCAAGTAATTCATCTGATCAGAGTGCGGCGCAGCAATAATAGTTAAGGTTTTATTCTTAGAAATTATTGTTAATATGGTAAGTAGGTTAGTGCACGAAGTTTATTAGAAACGTGATAAGTTTGCTTGGTAAATAAAATAAATATGGAAAATAATAAAAGATAGATTTTAGGAAAAGATTTTCTAAAAAGATTATTTTTCTCTAAAGTCGGTTTATTAAGAAAGATAAGTTTTCTTAATAAATATCTTTTATACTTATTTTCGGAAAAGATTTTATTTCATTTGATTTACTAAAACCGTGTTTAAAAGATAAGTCAAGTTAACATATTTATCTTTTTAGAAAACCTACCTTCTATACAAGTGTTACTTGTATAAATAGTAGAAGAGCAAAATGATTTAGCTTTTGTGAGTTTATGCGTGAAGAAATCACAGTGCTTTAATTGAGTAAGTTTACCAAGCTTTTAACTTATCATATTAGTTTCGGATTTCGTGCATTGCTTACCTATCATAATAGGCGTCTTATATTTTGTATTGGTTGGGTTATTTGGGTGACATTTATAGTTTGTGTTACATACAGTTTTGTGTAAGCTTCTTGGTGAGGCTGTGAGTTTTGTACTGGGTAGTACGAGTGTTTTGTACTTTGGCAGTACGTGTAGTACTTTGGTGGTACGAGTGAATCTAAGTGTGGTGCTTAGATTGGGTAGGATCGGGTCCTATCAAGTAGCAAGTCCAGTGAGGAACTTGTGAAATAAAGGTCTGTGTCTAATAGGTTGTAACTTGGTGTTTGCCCTATTATAGTGAAGTGTTTTGTGTTTGAAATCCCTAAGGTAGGGTCGAGGTTTTACTTCCAGTTGGGCCCTGGAAGGTTTCCTCGTAAAAATGTGTGTGTTTGCTTAAGTTCCTTTACACATTGTTTATTTATCCGCAAAAAGTAGTCATTAGGAACTCAATACAATTCACCCCCCCTCTTGTATTAATCGTCTCAACTAACACCGAGTAACCCTTGACTGAATAACTTGAGTAACCCCTATGATCGAGTAACCCCTTAAGTAACCCTTGACCGAGTGAACCCCTCAAACCCCTGACTGAGTAACTCGAGTAATCCATGTTTGATAACTCAAGGGGTAACCCCTAACGATAGAACTCTAGTAACCTTTGTCACATGATGTGACCTGCTACACTAAAAAGTTGTTGCTCTATAAAACTTAATCCTTCAAAAAAAATAAAAGTAAACTTGTTCATTTTATGGTTAAAATCCAATAAAATGGATTAAAAAATATAGAAATGGGTCATGACATCTAGCTTAAACCTCAAGTTAAAAGCAAAATATCGTAATGCATATTGGTTTTATTGGGAATTCTATGTATTTCATAGGAACTAAATTCCTTCGTATATTATCTAGAATTTGTCAAACTTGTTTGGTTGGCTTAAGAAAATTTTTATTTTATGTGAATTGGAGGTGCCCAACTACGGCCCGATACGCTTGTTCTGTCTAGAAAAAAGAACGAGGTTGGGCAAGCAAAAAATACATTTTTTAGTCAAAACCCGAACTAAGCCACCAACTTTGAGCATAGAGCATTTAATTTTAAACAAATGAATTATAATATAACAACTTTTTTGTTTGGATGGCCACCCCATGTAGCAGGGGTTACGTGTAAGGATTACTTTTTCAAAGATTACTTGTATAAGTTACTTATTCAGGGGTTAATTGTAGGGGTTATTTACTTGTGGGGGTTACTTATTCAAGGGTTACTTACTCAGTCGGTTAGCGTGTTAGTTTTATGTGTGAGAACAATTCCTGACCGACTGAATAACCCTTGAATAAGAAACCCTATAATTGACCCCTAACAAAATGGGTAACCCCATAATAAGTAACCCATAACCAAACCAATAACTTCCTACAAATAACCTCTGTCACACGGTGTGGCCATCCACATATAAAAAATGTGATAATTATATCACTACCTCTATTTCATATTATGCCAAAAAAAAAAAAGGATGCACGTATTCCTATACAAAATTTATCTGTGAGTGTTGAATGAAAAGTAAAGATATTAATTCATGAGATGAATAGATAGATAGAGAGAATTGATAACTTAAAAAAGAAAGAAAACATTTATTGCACGTAATGTGTAGCAACCATTATTTGTAAATAATGTTGCACATAAAACGAAGTTTGTAGTAAAGGAAAATTTATCATTCATATAACATTATTGTTCATGAGTACTTATACTTGTTCATATATCACTTATTTATACATACATTTAAATTTTTAAGCAACTCATAATACTCTTTTTAATTTTCAAGCTTTCTTGAACTTAACCAGAAGAGGCTGATCATTAAATGGTAAACCCAAAAATCTCTTCCCATCTTTCTGAATGAAAACACCCAATTCACCACAAATTGGCCTACAAAGTTCGCAAACACTAGGACAAAACACAATCTTATAATCATACTTTCCAGTTCCTGCCTTATCTATTCTAAACCAATTACTAAGCGTCTGAGCACTGGGATTTCCGATTGTTCCGCTTATACCAACATATGATCTTTGAGTCTCATCAAAACGGGTCAATTTCCATCCAGTAGATTGAACACAAATGGAGGACACATCGAACACGATGTTAAGGTCAGTAGAGAGAGGGATTCGACGATCTTTAGGGTTTACGGGGTAGAACTTAAGAGGTAGGCCTTTGGAGAGTTCGAGGTTATCTTGAGCTACGTAGAGGGGGCATGGTTGAGTAGAGTTTTTAGGTGCCAGTGTTAGTCCACCACCTCGGCCTCGGATCACTGGGAAGATGTAGTAGTTTGTGTTGGCTTGGAGAGGGTGACCATCGATGTCGAGGACGGCTGTGTTGGCTGCGGTGGTGGTGAGAGGAGAGGCATTAAGGACTATGAAGATTGTGGTTACTGAAAGGATTAGGTTGGTCATATTTGTGGATGTGGTTATAGAGATTTGAATGGCTGTGAATTGAGAATAATGAAGAAGAGTGACTACTCCGTATTTAATTACGTATAGACTATACTGCATGCATGTTTGATGTACTAACACGGGTACGGGATAACGAATATGGTACGGGATGTTAAAATTCATAAAATATATTTTATATAAAAAGAAGAAGAAAAAAACAACCATGTATTTGTTATTCCGTCCTCTCATTATTAGATCATATTGTATCATATTAACAATGAGCAATATATATGAAGGGTCTTTTATCTTCAGCTTATTTTCAGTTCAGTTCATTTCCTAATTTCTTTCTCTCATAAAATATTCAGTTCACTTCAATTCAGCTCAGCTCAGTTCGGTAAATCAAAACAGGCCTGAAGACACAGATATATTATTTAAGAATTACCTTATTCATCTTACTTAAATTTCTCATTAAAAAAAAGTTGAACAACTCATATCATAGTAGGATACGGTCCAAAACTTATCGTCATATCTCCCACGAATGTCGGTGTCTGACATAGTGTCCGACACGGACACGACAGTTTGAGCTAATGTGTAAACACGAACATACTCGAACATACTCGAATCAATTACTACTCAATCAAATACTACAACATACACGTACCCGAGTAGTTGAGTTGTAGTAAATGATAACAGCTTGGCATTGTCATCTTAGTTGGACCATATTATCTTGTGCTCCTATATATAATCTATTTACTTATTACAGATTATTTATTTTGTGACAAAACATGTCACATTGTTTAGACATTGTACTTTGTACCTATGTTTACTTGACTATTGATTAAAACAGAGCACACAACTTGCTTGCAATTTTCAAGTGCTTGCTAGGTACGTATCTACTTAGCTTACACAAATTGAAAATTTTCATCTAGTAGTGATTGTTATAATCTTTAGTTTGAAAATATTTAGTATGATTGTCCTACTTATTATACAGTTAGTCTAATTAAATAGGTTTTTATGTCAATGTGGCTAGAAAGTCAGAATATTGGTTCCTTATACGCTTCCTCTTAGTTCGGTAGGCTCTGCTCTAACTTTCTTTGTAATAAATCTGTAATTTAGCTAAGTATAAACTTTCTCGGTTTCATTCTTACGTCATGTTGACTTTTACCCTATTCACATTTTTTTTTCTTTGATCGACTTTAGTGATTTATGGTTAAGGAAAAACAAGGTCGTGTGGGATCTAATAATTTGTCTGATTCTTCTCGTTTTAATTTATATTTTCATAGTATAAAATTTTTATAATTTTCTTACTAATACTTAAAAATACTTATAATTGAAATTATCCTATGTATACACTGACAAACGTGAAATAAAAAATATTGTGAGTAAAAACTAAAAAGAAATATAGGAGCTACTTCTTATTTGTTTCAACTAACTTGCAATTCCTTACGAAGTATATGGAATTCAAGTGCTCCACTCTTCTTTATCTCTTTTTCTTTTATATATATATATATATATATATATATATATATATATATATATATATATATATATATATATATATATATATATATATATATATATATTAAGAGTACAAGTTTTGAGCATAAAGTTAGCGTGCAACTTTAGTTGGAGTACCATTTTTTTTCTTGGACAATAGTTGCTATTTCTTGATTAAGTGAGTTGCTTGATTAGAAATAATTACTTTAAGTAGCGTAAAATTTGGGAAGTTCGTTGAATATTCTCATGTACAGAATGTAAGGAGATTATTATCAGTTACATTAAAATAAAAAATTAAAAATTAAAAAAAATAATCATTGACTATTCTAAAGATAAAATCTTTATGTCCACATCTAAAAATCCACATGTAATTATTTGGGATTTGTTAAACATCGCCCGCGTTTTTCTACATAAAGCCCACATTTTTTAAAAATGTTGACATTATTGCCCTTGTTTTAATTTTTACCGAAAATAAAATTTTTCACTCATAAAAAATGTGGAGCAGGACTGGATCGCCGAGTGAAACCGAAGAGCCCTCAACGTCGGGTAGATGCACCGGAGAGACGCCGTTGACGCCGGAAAAGGAGGTACGAAGCCATCTAAAACCACGAATTGGCGGCTGGCGTCCTGCCGGGACGCCGTGACCGTAGTGGTGGCGCCTAGCCAGGACGCCGCCACCGTGGCTCTGGCGCCTGGCCAGGACGCCGCCACCGTGGCCGTGGCGTCTGGCCAAGACGCCGCCGCCACGGTGGCGGCGTCCTGGCCAGGCGCCACCGCCACGGTGGCGGCGTCCTGGCTAGACGCCACCGCCACGGTGGCGGCGTCCTGGCTAGGCGCCACCACTATTTTTTTTTTTTTTTTTTTTTAATTTAATTTAAAATTTGTTTATTTTTTTTTTTTTGTGTTACAATTTTTTTCTTTTTTTTTTGGTTTTTTTTTTGTTTTGTTTTTAATTGTTTTAATTTGTTTTTGTTTTTAATTTATTTATTTTTTATTTTTTTTTTTACAATTTTTTTCGTTTTATGTTTTTTTTTTGTTTTTATTTTTTTGGTTTATTTTTATTTATTTAATCTAAAGTTTTGTTTATGTTTTTTATTTTTGTGTTTTGTTTTTTTTTTTTTTTTGAATACTTTTTGTTTATTTCTTTGTTTGTTGTTTATAATTTATTATTGTTTTTGCTTTTGTGCTAATGTTGTGTCAAATGTATTAATTTAATCTACTCTTATGTGATTATATTTATATGTTATTGTTGCAGGATTATGGTGGAGACGGAAATGATTATAGTGGGATTTTTGTACACGATGGTCTGTTCGAAGATGCTCAACAAGCGGTTGATTGGGCGAAACAGGTTGCAATTAGATCAGGTTTTTGTTTAGTAGTAGCAACTCATAAATCTCAACGGGATGGTAGAATGGATCGCATTTTGAGATGCGACCGTTATCGCAAAAGGGAGGAACGAGATTTCAGTCAAGCGATTCGGTTTGATACAAAGCGGAAAGGTTGTGGGTGTCAGTTCAGAGTAAAGGTTCGACAACAGCAAAGGGGTGACGGTTGGGAAGTGAAGAGTTACGGTAAATGGGGGTATCACAACCATGAGATGATCGCATATGAAGTGGGTCATCGACAGTTAAGTGGCCTAAGTCCTGCTGCGAAACTAATTGTAAAAGAAATGAGTGATGCTCAAGTGAAGCCTGCTAAAATATTAGCATCTGTGTTGGAGAAATTTCCTGAAGACCAGCCAAACCGAAGACACATCTACAACGTCAGACATAAATTGAGGTTTGAACGGTCAGAGGGAAGGAACCCTATACAGCAGCTTCTACACCAGGCACAAGCACGTGGTTACCTGTACTGGTTTGAATCTGATGAAGACACATCGGAGGTGACTCATTTGTTCCTTGTGCATCCTGATTGTGCTGATATGATTTCGTCTTGGCCATCTGTGATTCTGATCGATTCAACGTACAAGACAAACAAGTATAAGTTTCCACTGGTTGAGATGGTTGGGATGACTCCAACGAACCAGAACTTTTTGATTGGTTATGCAGTTATGAAGGATGAGACGGTTGCGAGTTACCGTTGGGTGTTGGAGAAGTTGAGAAATTACATCGGCCCAAGTGTTCAGCCATCGGCCATCGTCAGCGATTGTGAGGGAGGTCTCTTTGCCCCTATAGCGGAGCTGTTTCCGGAGTCGAGCCATTTACTGTGCACATGGCACATCAACAAATGCGTGAAAGTCAAAGCCTACAACCTTTTCAACAAGAACTTAGATTCAGCAGAGAGATTGGTAAATGGTAAGTGGCGGAAGATCCTGCAAGCTACCACGGAGGCAGAGTACGACCGAGCCTTGGATAACTTCAAGGATGCATACCAATGGTGCCCGGCAATCGTAGACTATGTGATGCAGCAGTGGGTGCCTCAGAGGGAAAAGTTTGTCAAATATTGGACAAACCAAGTTCTTCATTTTGGAAACACTACTACATGTAGAGTTGAGAGCGCTCATAGAGCTCTGAAGGACTGGATTGATTCTTCCACCTCTGCTCTGGATACACTGTTCGAGAGAATAAACAAGGCTATTGATACTCAGAGGAACGGCATCAAGAACTCTCTCGAGGACTCCAGACGGCGACATGGCACGATGTATAGCCATTTCATATTTAAGATTCTCCATGGTCGTGTGTCACACTACTGCTTGGGGTTGATTCTGAGCGAGCACACCAGGATGAGGGAGTTGGGTGATGAAGTGGCTATTCGGTGCGGATGTGCTATATCGGTGACTCATGGACTACCTTGTGCATGCACCATTCACCGCGTAATTACGCAAGATAGGGCGTCGTTACATGTTGATCAGGTTCATACATTCTGGCGGACGCTCGTTATCGGAGAGCATGCTGTTCCACAGACAGTCAACCGTGAACAGGAGGAGTTGGAGCAGTTTCGTTCGATGTTTGACCAAGTGTCCTCCAGCCACCCTTCAGTCATTCGTAGTGCTACCCACGTACTTCATGACATGTTCAACTCGTCGTGCTTGGATCATGAGGAACCTGAGGGGGTCGAACGACCACGGGGCCGACAACCACGGCGGGAAAGGAGTGCGTTTGAGTACATTCGTGGTCGTGGTCGTGGTCGTGGCCGTGGTCGTACATCGTCATCAAGTGGTAGTCAAACATCTTCGTCGGTGAATATGCCCGGCACCGGTACGGTACTTTAGTTTAATTTACTTTTTAGAGTGTTTGTTTAGTTTTCTGCTAACTTGTTAATTGTGTTTTTTGATGTGTGCAACAGGCAGAATGGACATTGAACATTTTCCATATAAAGACAGGATCCCTAACATCATGATGCCGTTCCTGGACGGGTGGAATGATGTGGTTGCAGATGGTAACTGTGGATTTCGGGTTGTGGCTGATGTGTTTCAGATGGGTGAAGACAACTACGGTTTAGTGCGTCAGTTGATGTACAGTGAAATCGCCTCAAACCGAGCTGTTTATCGCCACGTGTACGGACAGGACTTGGATAGGTCTCTGCAGCGTATCCGGTGGGGAGGAGGACGTTGCGGTCAAAATCATTGGTTCGACGCGCCCCTTGATCTCTTCGCCGTTGCAAACATCTACAAGTGTGCAGTGATGCATTTCGGCCTTGGTTTGCATGGTCGAGCTTACTATCCGTGTACCACGGTTCTGCCTTGGTGTTCGCGTGAGACCGTCACCAGACCGGTAAGAGAGGTTGCTATTGGATTTCTGGGGCCGTCATACAGACATTTCATCCGACTGGACCTGTCACCCGATTTTCCGGTCCCACCGATTATACCAACGTGGTACAC